ACCCCCGGGAACAGCGGCTGGCTGAGTGGTGGGGAGTGAGCATCCAGTGCACCAGTGGCCCGGGATGTCTCTGGGAAGACGGGAGAAAGGAGTTTTCTTCACTATGTTCCCTGCAGGTCAACCAAGATTTGATTTCCTGATGGTAGAGGTACCATAGATCAATCATTAAAGATTAAATTTATTGCTGTGTTTGGAGGAGAATAGAAGCTTTATATCACCAAAATCCTCCTCACAGCCTCAAAGTTGGGCTTGAGGTTAAGATGGTTACTGTGAGTCTGGGCATCAGCAGTTCCCTGCTGGGCTGTGTTGATGGGAATAGCTCGTATGGCTGTAAGATGGGGTGGGGATGTGGTTGTCCCTCCTGTCCTGGAGCCACAGCCTCGGCTCCTGCAGTGCCACTGAATTCAGGGTCTGGATGAGGTTCCAGTGGTGTTTTATAGCAAACCAGTCGATCTGGTGTGACATGAAGCTGGGCAGAGCCATGTGCTCCACTCAGGGATGAAGCAGGGAGAGGAGGGAAGGGGGTGGCTCAGCCAGTGTCTGCCTTGCTCAGCACCATCATCATGGAAACACGTCCAAAGCGTTTGGTATTAAGGGGCAGGAAAGCTGGTTTCTCTCCAGATGTGGCTCTGCATCTCTCCAGGCCTCAGTTTCTTCACCTGCATGAAGGAAAAGATGGTACTGAGTGCCTTGGAGAAGGGTTTTGGGAACCGCTGGGTCTACAGGTTTTGGATGGTTATCCCTAACAGCGTGGCTTGGAGTTAGGAATTGTCCCAAAGGAGTTTGGGAACGAGCCTGCAGCTCTCCAGTCTAATCCCCCTCATATCACCCAGGGACTTTACACAGCTTACGTGCAGCTCTCCACATTTCCAGTTTCAGAAGGATGTTTCTTGCGTGACCTCCCTGTAAAGCCACTCCTTCCTCAAGGTTTAATCAGAAAGACTGATTCTTTCTTTAATGGGCATATCTTTAAGGTGGGTTTCTTTAGTTCTTCCTCCTGTAACTGCTGCCATCCGGAGGCCAAGTGTTTTGTTTAAGTTAGAAATTGTTTAAGTTAGATACTGTTTAAATTGGATATTATTTAAATTGGATATTGTTTAAATTGGATATTGTTTCTGACCTTCTTCAGCCTTGTTTCATATTTGTCCTCTGCTAGAAAATCAAAGCCCCTTTATGTGTGGCTCGGTCAGTACTGACTCTGCAGACGGTACATTCGCCCCTCACAGCACTTTTCTCTGTCAAGAACTCATATTTTAAGGAGAAGAAGATCAGATTTCAGTGCTGTGTGGTGGGAAAATGCAGCTTTACAATGCTGTATGCATTAAGAAATTAGGGGCCATTGTTTTGCCCTCGCTGCCTGGAGTTGGCAGCGTATTTCATGTGGCACAGGTCCCCTCCCTGCCACCCGACAAGCAGCAGCGTGGCCCCCAGTGCCATGAGAGCATTCTCTGTGTGCTGAGCCTGGTGTCCCCAAGGGTGAATCACTGCCACGGCCTAAACATGTGGGGTTTGTGCCCAGAGGAGCACCCGTCTGCTGGGGTTCATGGGAACAACTTGGCAATGGCCGTGTCCCCCTTCCCCTGTGCTTTGGCACAACACTGTGCTGCTGCCAGCAAATGTGCTCCTGCCCCAGCCTTTATGCCCACCCAGCACCATCCCTCTGACCCTGGCGCGGGTCCCCATGGCCCCATCAGATGTCCCCGGAGGGGACGGATGCCGTGTGTTCACCCCGCTCTTCTCTCGGTGCAGGGATCCCCGCTGAAGGGCGAGACATGCGGTAGGAGCCAGCGCTTCCCACCGGAGCCAGTCTGGGTC